ATGTAATTATGACGATCTCGTCTAATGTTTCCACGTAAATCTCATATGAGAGCTCCACAGAGGAACGCTCGGTAAATCAGCACACTTAATAAAATTGAAACACAATATGAGCTCATGCGTTGCAGGTAAAGCGATTTTCCTACACCACCAGCACCGAGAACTCGACCTCCAGTCCGAAGACGTGGTCCCTCCAGAGAAACTGCACGAACAAATGCGAGCCCGGATGCATCGTGATCGGCGAACGCACCAAGCTCTACGCCTGTACCGCCTGTTGCGAGACTAATCTATGCAACAACGGCACCGGCACTGCCAACGACCTAACGATCAAAGAAATCGATCTCCTGCTAGCCCTCTTGCTCCAAGCTGTCTTGACTGTTATCATGTATCCGTCCTGACAGTGTCAATAAAGTCTCTAATCACAATAATCCCCCCACAACAATACACCCTCGTGGTCCACGGGTGCTGGCGTCCGATGGCGCTTTGTTTTGTCTGCGTTCTTCGAAAGATACGGTATATCCCGTGAAAATCCTTCGGCTTTCTACAATAAGCCATTATCTAAGTTTTAAGTTTTAAGCAACTGACCAATCACAGTCGAATGTGAGACGAATAATTAACTATAATTAATCAATTTTTTACGGTTTAAGATTTAAAGCTTAGATAATGATTTATTGTAAAAAGCCAATAACATTTCGCTGAGCGGATATGTAAAATTGTTTTATATATGCATATGATGTAGAATATAAATTGTATTCGTTATAATATGGGAAATCTTTCTTTATGACTTTCTCAAAAGTTTATAAATTCATATTTTGAAATATAAAAATAATTAGAGCAGGACAAGTTCATAGCACTATGAGCTTCAAAATTCATACAGCTGGAATTTTGTTGAAAATGAACGAAATTTAAATTTAAAAAAATGTTTTAAAGCTTAAAAGCTCTATTTTCAAAAGATCTCTTTGTCTTTTGAATTTTTGTGAGTTTATGTTAGTAATTTTTATATATAGAAAATTACGAGCTGAATAAAATGGGAAATTATCAAGCAATACAATAACTTTTCGAAAGCATTTTTATTCATTTATCGTTATCGGCAGCATTAACGTATTTTCGAATCTTTTGAGTTGACGAAGCGCAAAATTGCTTAGCTCTCAAAATTAATATTAATATTAATAATCTAATTCTCCTAACGCGGTTATAGCTGATTGTCCAAATTGGAACAATGTTAGAGTGAAGTGAAATATAAAAAAGCCCATCAGAGCCTACATCGGTTGTTCGGATGCACAGAAAACTCTTTATTTTTTCGTGTGAATGTAACAAAACGAATAAAATAAACATTTTGACCCATCAATTCGGGTCCTTATCAATATAAAATATAAATCGAAGAGTTTTCTATGCATCCGAACAACCGATGTAGGCTCTGATGGGCTTTTTTATATTTCATTAATAAATTCTTTCGAGGCTCATTTTATATATTTGTAAAGTGAAGGTTATAAACCAAAAGCAAGATTGATTCACGAGAAAGTGATTGTTCTACGCTGCTTTTACAATTGTTTCATCTATTTCAAGTACGGTAAATATTTAATGGCACTCTCCTTTTGTTGACCAAATTGCAATTTTATATCTGATTCCGAGAATAATTTAAATTCAAACGCGCTACTGTGAAGGACTGGAACAAAATGGAGGACGATCATACTTATTTAAATTTACCGACCGTGAATTGTTTGAGAGTCTGGCGTCATCTAGCATCGATATTCTATATGTTGAAGCTGAGGTTACAGTAGTATCGACCGCATGTAACTTAGCAAGATTAAAATTAATAATCTAAATATAATTTTTTGTAGTTACATAAATGGAGAAAACAATGAAAAAAAGCAAAATGAGAAAAGAAACATATGTGATTAATTATTAAAAAAAAATTTTATGGAGTAAATAACATCTTATATAACATAACCGACAGGTCGTCAGCTATCGATTATTAATTACTATATCAATTATCAATTGTATATTATGTTATTTCATATAACACAAAATAAAATAATAAATTATTACCATTTAATTACTACACTTATACCTTCCAATACCTATATATGTATATATATTTATGCTTCCCAATATATACTTCCATGTTCATAAAATATTTATTTATGTGGTAAATCTACATTATTATAGATATTTTCAACCCAGTTCCAACAAAAATAAATGCACTTTTCACGCGCAAAAAGGATAATCGCATAAATCTAATCTCATGCCTGATTAGCGGTAACTTCGCTCGAATAGTTAATTTCGTAAGGCTCTGTCTCGCGACTTGCAATTCTCTCGAGAGGATCGCGATTCAAGTCGACGACGGTTTCTTCGCCGCTATCACCAACAATAGTTGCGTTCGTTACTCGACACACACTACTCCAGTTGTACCACCCTACCTTTTTCTACCGTCCTTGTTCCCCTTCCACGGTGTTCACCTTCACGTGTTCGCGGAGGTCTCCGCTATTTCGCAGCTGTACCGGTATCCTCGCCGCGTTCGCGAAGGATCAAGATGGGGATTTATTTATTGCCTACAACAATCGCACTGTTCGTGACGTTAAGCGCTTTCCGCGCGTCGACGCTCTTCTCCGAACAGAGAAACGTACGACGCCAGGAGGAAACTCTTTGCATGTTCAGCACGCACACGTCGACATGATTGACGCGCGTTCGAGACAGATGCATGCTGTGTCACATAAATATACGAAAAATCCTTTGTGTCTCGCGATTAATTGGTCGTAAAATCGATAGTCAACTGTGCCGCACCTGTACTACGTCGCGAATATTCTGCACTTTGCAAACAATTCACACGGGAAACCTGTGTGACAAAGTATATAACAATTACGCCTACTAACATTGTAATTTAAATAATATTTATTTCAGATCTGGATCATATAATCCACACAATCTATATCAGAATACTATTTTTAAATTATTCATAAAAAAATTCTTGCGATTTATTTATAATTTTATTATATTTTTATCACAAATCTGGTAGTAATAATAAATTTTTATTAAAAATCTAGTAAAGTTTGTATTATATATAACATCATTCTTACATAATTTAGTTTTTATGCGATTTTATTATATTTTAAATTTTTATTAAAAATCTATTAAATAAAATCATAAATGGAAAAATTAAATTGAGAAAAGTAAATTAAATAATAGAAAAAATGCAATTTTCGTCGCAGATCTCAATGCTTTAATATCTATATACGTATATTCATAAATTTACAAATTTTCCATTATTCATTTAACGATTATGTAATTTGTGTTATTTATTTCCAACTTCAATTTATGAATGCATTTCAAATTCGACAACTGAATTAACGCAGTTTATACAACTGATAAATGTATTTGTAAATTTACCTACATATATGTAAATATTATTAAGCACCAAGATCCATTTTGAATAAAAACAGGATTCTCTTATTCAATTGAAATCTAATAAAGAGCTATATAAAACTGATACTAAATTAAGCGTAATATTTCAAATATATGAATTAATACATATATAATGGCTTCTCATAAATTCAACAGAAGTATCTTATTACAAAAAAATACATCTTATTATTTTTAAGGAGGTTCTTCAGCTTCTTTTTCAAAAATGGAGGGGAGTCACGCAATTTTTCTTATCTTAAACACGAGAGCACAAAGGAGCAAAATGCCATTGCTATCTTCTAAAAAATAAATAATGAATGAAATTTAATTTTTTTTATGATAGAAATGAATATTTATGTGGAAAATATTGAAGAAAAATTGTTTACAGTAATTATTTAAATTTAATTTAAATATTAATATTCTGGTAGAAACGACGTTGCTACATTTCTACTAGTGTGACATCATTTAAAGAGAATTAATAAACATGTCATACACTCTTACACAAAAATGATACGGTGAAACTTCATTTTTTTTTTATTTTTAAATGTTCTTTAAATTTCATTCTTTTATATCCATATAACTCCTCAAAATTATTATATATTTTGTTTACAATTAAATCTTTCTTTTCATAAGAATTTAAGCTATTTTAGAAAATTATTTAAAGAAAATTGTACGATAAAAAAATCTGAAAAATTCAGGAATGCTTATTTGCAAAAAAATATTTTGCTGCTTCAGCTAGAATTATCGCTGTTTTTCGTATATGGTAGAAAATTATGTTAATAATAGAATTTATAGCACAATATTTTAACAATATATGCAAGAAAATTTAGGTTTCATAATTAAATATGAATCACAATCCCTTTATAGAGAAGAGCATTATAGCGAGACTGTCTGAATAAATTTGACAATGGTTCGGATATAAATTCTATCTCTATCATCTATATTGATTAGATATAAAACATATCCAATATCGCAGTGTTTGCTAATTACTTATCCATTTTAGCTCATTTTTCGTATTTATAGATAATTTTTCACTATAACTGCAAGATCATTTCTTTCAGTGTACACATTAATTACTAATTTAATTACAAACTTATTTTTAATATTTGATTAAATTCTTATATTATGTGAAAAAGCTGAAACATCTCCTTGAATATTTGTTCAAAAAATGAACAAAGTTCAGCAACAACAACAGTCAGGCAACACTTCTCTTCCTCTCTGTATTAATAATTTTTTAACAATGCATTACGCAACGCGTCGATTGAAAGATTTCCAGACTCTCGTTTCCGCAAGATTCATCGGTTTTACTGGAAATAGTGGTCATGTTGTGAAAATTGACCGCATGTATTGTCCGTGGCTCGCAACCACGATAATTGTCTGTGTTGGAACCTGTCTACTACCATCGCGCGATAAACGTTCATATGTCTGGCGTGGCTGCGTCATCCGGAGAAATGAAAGAAAAATCACGGCGACGATACTGCGCCGGCAAGACATCGTCAGTCCCCGATTGTTTCCGACTTGTCAAATGCCGGGAAGACACGTCCGTGATCGTCACACTCCGGAGTCTCCGGATACGGTCGGTCAGTGCGAGGACGTGAGGCATCGGGTGTGCCAGCATGCACGTGCCATCGTCCATCGCGATTCTTCTGCTACACCTAGTCTCGATCGCGGCCCGTCCGAGTCATTCGGAGGTCGTGTATCGATCAGACGCGTCGAAGAAATGCTGCGTCGCCGGTTACGCGTTCAACGAAGACCTAGAATGTGTCTACGAGGAACCGGACAAGTTCAACTACACCACGCACGATGCCTGGCGAACAATCGCCCAACATCCGCGGCAGATTACCACATTGATCACGTCCGTGCAGGGCTTGAACTGCCGCGATAACGAGGAGAATGACTCCAATTCGCAACATCATCCATACGACCTCCCTCGCATTTATTCCATCTTTCGCGCGCCGAGGGACTATTGTATCGAAAACATGATCAACGGTACGACGGTGCTGATCAAATGCGCGGAGACCGGAGTCTCAGAAGCGACTCGGGACAGAGAGAATTCGACGGAGACGACAGTGGTAATGAAAACCACGACAACGACGACGACGACGATCATTACCGTGACGACCATCACCACCGTCACCACCGTCAGTATGACGAATGTATCGTCAAAGGAGAATGAAACGCAGACTGTTCATCATTGCAGCGATCTGAGGAATGTGTTCTACTGGGGCACTCAGACTTACATGGACACCAACGTGGCCCACGTTGTCCTCACCATCATCGTCGTCGTGGTATACCTGTCCGTTCCGCAACTCGCCAGGAGCATCTACAATCGTGCGGTACTCCGCCACAACGTCTGCCTGCTACTGCAGGGGTCTTTGCTGACGTTTCTCGGCTACTGTAACTTGTGCGGCATCTCGATGAGCGACAACTTGGAAACATTCTTGTGGATACTAATGCAGTACTTCACGAACGCCACGGTATTCTGGTTGAATGTGATCTGCTTCGACATGGCACTGTCCATTACGCGGTTTCGCTGGATGATAAGCTCGGGTAAGCAGACGAATCAAGAGAACAGGCGACTCCGGCTGTACGGAGTTTTCGTGTGGGGCGGCGCCTTCCTACCCGCCGTCGTCGCCATCATCTTGGAATTTTGCCCTGGCATCCCGGAGGACCTACCGTTTAAGCCGAATTACCGCCGTTATCATGATGGGCCGAACTACGTGGTGAACTTATATTTCTTCGGCCTACCCATGCTGACGCTCTTCCTGAACAATGTGCTATTTGTGTTTACCACGTACAAGATTATACGAATACAACAAAGCACAGAGATAGCGACGAGGAATCAGTCCAACGCTCTTAGGAAAAAGTACTTCCTCTTCTTGCAGCTGTACTTGCTGATGGGCGCGCCATGGTTTTTCGGCTTGCTCTTCGCTTGCATGAACAAGCTCGTGGTGATGAAGATATGCCGGCTAATATGGCCGATTCTATGGCTTTTGATGTTCGCTACCCACAAGAAACAACGACGGAAACTCGTCAATTTGTTGATGTTGCGATGCGTCAAGAAGAAGCCTGAGATTATCGCAATCTCGTAGAAGCAAACCAATGACTTTGCGCGATTTACAATTGACTTGGACCGTCGAAAAAGTACATGCGTGATGGATCGAGTTCTTATCAACCGCAACCGCAGCGTGGAAAATCATGGGATACTCCTTCTATTGTCATGCAACGGTTACGTAATCGTGCGGCGACGATAGTTCCTCCTGCTAGTTCGCGCAAATTGTGCGCTCGCGGGCATTTGCATTATTTTCTTGCGCAACCCGCAGAAAACCCCCATCTCGAGGAAAAGAAGGAATAAAAAAATCCACAATGTTGGCTGCCGCCGCAATATCCGATGCCGCGAACTGAGCGATGAGTCGCAGAAAAACTCGGGTACGTGGCGTCGTCGCGCGGTAGGATAATAAAAGAGTCGTGGCGCGACGTCGTTTCCTGCCGGGGCATTTTAATTACCGTATTCGCTACGCGCCATCACTCGCCCCCGCGCGCTCGTATTATCTTTTTTGTTTTACAACGTGTAGAATATTAACCTGTTAGTGTACAACGCGGAAGATACATCAGCGGCGGGCGCTTTTTGCAGGCGATCTTCCGCACCATGGAAAGACGCAATAAGAACGTGATTCTCTCCTCTTGTAGGAAAACCTCGTCTCCTGTGTTAACAGGTTGAAATATAACTGCAAAATGCTCGGGAGATATTCTTTATTTTCTACCGAATGTCATTTTTGTACCTAGTATTAGGTAGATGGGAAGGTTCTCTTATTTTGTAAATATCACAGACGTTACACGGAAAGAATGATTCTGTTAAAGTATCTAAAAATCTAGATAAATACAGATCTAAAAATAATTTTGTTAAAATAATTATGTAGGATACTCAAATTGGTCGCTACGCATGAAAAAATATTATTTTATTGCTAAGAAAAGTAATTACTCAATTTACTTTCTTACTTTTAAGTAACAGTTATCTTTAATACAAAATATATTCTTGATAACAATCTTAAAATAGAACACTCAGACAAATTTTAGACAAATTTATTATTATGTTACTCAAAACAAAAATATATATTTTTTTTAAGAATATAAAAGAATTTACCGAAGAAATGACTTTATAAGCAAATAGAATTTGTTTTGATTTAATAATCTTGATTAAAATATTAAACTTATTAAAATTCAGAATATAGTTTGAATAAATTTAATACGTGTAATGAACTTATGGTAGATTTACGGATATATGAAATTTTGAAATATTTAAAAGAAGTAATTATTACTTGCATCGTATAGTATGTATTTTTCTATCTGCAGAACGTCAAAATTTTTTGCGGGAAAAGCTGCTCATCATCATGCTTGAGATTCCTGCACTGAAAAAAAATGTACTAAATTTTAATAAATATTTATTTGAACAGTACCAACTAAACTTTATTTACAATAATAAATATTTACTCAATAAAAGTTAAATAAAATTAATAACTTGGTACCAAAAGATATATTTGTATATTTAGTAAATATTTAGTCGGTACTTTTCAAAAGCACCAAATTTATTAAAATTTAATACATTTTTTTAGTGTATGTAATTATTTTGATCGTCCGATAAAATTATTTTCAGATGTGTATCTGGCTAAATTTTTAAATTTTTTCAACAAAATCGTTTTTTCCGTATATAAACATTCAAATATCTAGTCAATTATGAGAAAATAAACAAGTCAGTTAACAATAAGTAGGATTTGCTGGAAGAAATTATCTCAAATCACGATATCTTCTTAATAGCGCAATAACATCGCACGAAATCAATAAGCAACGGCCTACGAGCCTACTTATTAATGACATATTGATTTAATGTTCTAGTTCGTAATGCAACACGGCAAAAAAAGAAAAAGAGAATCATAGTTCTCTTTATCATAGTTCTCTTGAGTCAACCATATAATATCAGGATCAGATATTTCTAAAAACGCAATAAAGAATAAATGTCGTATTGCATGTGTAATACAGGAGAAATAGAAAGATTAAAATGACAACTAATTTGTCACTCGATTTATTAATTAATAATTAAATATAGTAATTAAAATGTACATAAATACGACTTGTTATAATATTAATTTGCAGTATTTTATAAATAGGGCAAAACTGAATATTTTTTGAGAGAAAACCGAGAAGCTCTGTTATTTTAGAATGCAGGAACACGACCTGGAAATAAATTCATATGTAAAATTATAGAGAGATATTCGACTCAGGGAATCTATCAAAAACGAAAATATATCCATGACCAGCATTTACGTAACAAAATGTAAACAACTTAAAAATGCAATTAAAGCGTAAGTTTGAACTGATAATATTTTTTCTATATATGTCCTCTGCGAGCATAAAGAAAAAAAATGTACTATAATCTCTCATTCTATATGTGCGATATAAAGTTACCGATATATTATGTTATTAGTATTTTAATCGCAATTATTTGTATAAAGATATTATAGCATTAAAATTTGTATTAAATCGATTTTTATACTTGTCTCTATTATTAGAATTAACGTCCCATGTATTTTTAACGTATGTACACGCACATATTCATCTTGAGTTTTCCACATAAAGCTGTTAACTAGAAAGGCTTATAGTTAGCTAATCTTCGCAAGTATACATGGACATGACGTGAGTCATCGCCTGGATATCGCTGTCATAGATTGCATCAATATTTATGCCGTGCCGTAGCGTCGCGTGTGTGCAGATTCGTGTATGTTATTTCGCGTTAAAACAAAAGCTAATTTATATGCGTCAAATTTTTTTGTCGGTCAAGTCATTTCTGCATTTTACGGACCTCGTCGCGTCGTGTCGCGCGATTTGCGCATGAACAAATGCAAAAAAATATTATACGAAGTAATAATTTGAAATTTGACATACTGGAGATATTACGCGTGACAAGCATGCTTCGTTAGCGGACTCCCTTGTCAAGAGATATTTCGGTGATCATTATGTCTAACCGGCCTTTTAAAGCCCGAAACGCTTTTCATCCCGCGGATCCACCGCACGGCATGCAAAATTACGATGTGGGCGCTCTAACGAGAGATCAGAAGCAAGCTTTGAACAAAATGAAAATGACGACTCGAAAGGAAAACGAAATTTACTTTAAATCACACCCGGAAATCAGAGGTCTGGTCGGTATTTTATTGAGGTACGCTCGCATCTAATATTTTATAATTACATCAAAAAAATATATAACGCGGAAAAAACAATTTTGCTGAAATATCTAAAAATTTAATTATATATACACGGACCTGAAATTCATTTTGTTTGGATCATCAAAATAAATATATAATAATTATATAGGGCGTTTAAACTGGTTGCTAGAATGCTAATACTTTTTGTAGCAAAGTTATCAACTTTTAAACATTTTAAATATTTTAATGATCCAACGAAATGTATGTATCTATGTTCAAATTTACATAGTTTTGCCGTGATGTAAGTATCTAAAATTTTATTCAGATACAGATCTGAAAATAAATTTGTTGGACCATCAAAATAATTATATAGAATGTTCAAGCATGATGATATGCTGCAAAATGTTTTAACATTTTAGCAATTTAATTTAAGCATCCTATATAATTATTTTAACGGTCCAGCAAAATTATTTTCTGGTCTGTATCTTTTAGATATTTCAGTGAACTATTTTTTTCATGTATGTATTTTTTTCACAGTGTAGAATTTTTATATTCAATTTGTGTCTTTTCCCTAATAACAATTTTATTATAAAAAACGCGAAACGCCAATTATAATATTTGATACGTGACGAGAATATCGTTGGAGATTAATGATACGTCATTAAAATCGCTCTCGCAGGCACGTCCTATCGAAGCAGCCGCTCATCGATATTCACGAGGTTGTAGGTACATTTTTCAACAGACCACGTCGAGAAATTGTTGCTGACCTTTTGGATTACTTGTCGTCCGCCGATAAACGATCAGACATAACGGACGATCTTCGACGGGAAATATTTCGAACGGTCAGCTTTGAAACTTGCAGTAGCAGCGATTCGAATTCACAGTCCTATTCTAGCTCATGCAACTGCATGCAATCGCACGAATGTGATTCAAACAACCAACGTTGTGAAGCTCGCAGTAGCGATGATTCGCACTCGCAATCCGATTCTAACTCGTGCAATTGCAACCGCACGGAAGTGACTCGCAATTTTCAATAGTAGTCCAAATAGAGTCGATTTACTTGGTTACATTTACAAATCCGTTCAACCTTTTTTTTTTTAAAAATCGATATGAATTTTAATGATAATACGATTAGATATGATTTAGTCGCGCGAACTTTTCATATAGATTTAAAATCAAATAATTCGATTTTTGTAGCGAGAATATAGGATAAAACCAACATAATGCTACAAATGCTTCAAAATGTTTTTTGAACGATGATCGGTCAGTTCGTAAAACTCTTTCTTTTGTTTGGTCAATCAAATGCTTCAAAGCACTTGTAGTGAGACTTTGGCCACACCCATAATCCTGGATGATGTGTTCCTTATTGAATGCTATATATATACACAGAAATAAAGTTTTTTTTATTAAAATATTTAAATATTTTTAGCTAGATACAGATCTAAAAATAATTTTATCAGATCAAAATAATTATAAGGGTACTCAATGATTGCTCGAATATCAAAATTGTTTGCAGTATTATACTCATTATATTTGACCTACGTAATTGTCTTGATAGTCCAACAAAATTATTTTTTAATTTGTATCTACACAAGAGAGAGAAAAGATTTGTTAAAACAACTTAAAACTTCACTAATTCAAATGTATAATTCAAATGTATAGCCATAATATACGGACAGCTAGTTTTCTATGTTAAAGTAGCGAAATTATGCAGCTGGCTAAAATTAGCGACTATAGGTAATTAGATTTGTTGGGACAGCACAGCAAATTATTTAATACAGCAAAGATAACTTTTTATGAAAATCAATCCAATATATAAATCAAACATGTTAAGATAACGCATTTTGCTGTAATGAAAAAACTTGTTATATTAGCAATTTCCATTGAAACAATTAGCTGAATTAGCATATTGATAATTGCTTACAGACATGATTTCTTTGTTGAATCATCAAATCTTCTTAGTTATACATGTTGAATTCGCGCAAGTAAGTTATAGCTTTGCTGAACCATCAAATCTATTTTTTCCGTGATAACTAAATTTTGATGTAAAACAAAACTGTACTTTCCGTGTATAAAACACTATATAAATACTATCTGTCTGTCATTAATTTATCATATATTAAAATCTAAATCTCATTCCGTCGAATGTTTACTTCGCGTAAATCAATATGTGATTATATGATGGATGCATTATAAACATATATTAACGTAACCGGTTCTACGTACATGTTATTGCCTTATTAATCGAAGCTTTAGCCTATTATTAAATGGTCGAACAAGCGACAGTGCGAAAAACCATTATTTGTAATTAATGCGCGCGACATGTAGGGAAAGTAACGACCACATATCGATTAGATAAAAATGGAGTGCGAAAACGTGGTTACGCCCGAGTTACCTGACAATATTCAGTGACAATATTTATCTGGTCATGCTAACGACAGCGGTTATCTTGTAGAGTAATATGATGGGCGGTTGGAACCGGTTGCAGCGATACCGATCGGCGTTAACCTCGATTAATTAAATTTTGTTACTTCATCTACGGGGTGTACCGCAACTATTATTTTAACGACAATCTCGCCGGCTAATTCCAGACCAATTTTTCCAACACTAAAAGCTGTAGCACGAATTATTCTCAAGCTGCGGTAAAATTGAGTCACACTTGCGATAAAAAGATGATATATTGAGATATTTGATTGTTGAACATTAATAGACTGCAATGAATAATTATCCTGAAATTTTCCTGAAGAAAACACTTCGACTGCAGGTTAATTCCGAGAATGTATAATTAGAATACTCTTCTTAAGTAAGAAATTACGAGAAATTGGATATCAAATATTTATGGAAAGAACGATTTCGCGTTGAAGTATCTAAAAATTACCTAAATATAGATCTGAAAATAGTTTTTTGGACTATTAAAATAATTTTAATAGAGACTTCTCAAATTAGTAGCTAGAATATCAAATTCTTTTTCCAGCATTGCTTATCACCACTGAGTTTTTTGTGTTATTGGGTTTTCTATTATTTTGATGGTCTAACATTTGGCAAGATTATTCTTAGGTCTGTATCTGTTTAAATTTTTATCGTATCCGTATCCAACTAAATTTTTAGATGCTTCAACAAAACCGTTTTTTCCGTGTTTGGTCAGCAATATTTTTCAGGACTTACTTAAAATAGATTGAGATAAATTATGCATGAGATAGAATGAGATATCTACACAGAAAAAACAATCTCCTAAAGTATCTCAAAATTCAACTAAATACAGATCTGATATATAATAATTTTGAACCATCAAAATAACTATATGTATGTAGGACGTTCAAACTTGTTGCTAGAATGTTAAAACGTTTTGTAACATCATGCTTATAAATTTCCTATATAATTATTTTGATAGTCCGACGAAATTACTTTCAGAACTGTATCTAGTTGAATTTCAACAAAATCATTTCTTTGTAAGTGTGATTATTAATTGTTGCAACGATGTATTTTACATAAGAAATTATTATCATGTGCACAAAAAATACGATTTTGCTGAAATATTTTAAAATTTAGCTAGATTTGAAAATAATGTTGTTGAATTATCAAAATAATTACGTAAAAACTCAAGCATGATGTGCAACGTTGCAAAAAGTTTTGACAATCAGTTTGAGCATTCTACGTAATTATAATATTTTTAAATCTGTATTTACAGTGAGTGTAAAAAGTATTCGTACAGAGAAAATATTTTTTTAAAAAACTAATTTTAAAAAGTAAATATTATCTAGCAAGAAATGAGTCATCGAATTGAAGTCATCGTATCGATATCGATTCGATTTCAACACCAATTTGACATCGATTCGATTGAATTAACGATCATTTTTTGCTGGGTACAAATAAGACTTTTTTTATAAAAAAATTTCCATGTACGAATATTTTTTGCACTCAGCTAAATTTTTAGATATTTTAGCAAAATCATTTCTTTCGTGCATGCATCTCATTCTATCTTATGCACTTTATTTCATCTTAAACACTGTTCTGAATATAGTGGATCAATGAAAAGTTGTACAAACGCTATTCTCTCTTTATACGTCACTTACATAGTACACTTGAGTATCTCTATGATCAAGATTAAACGTTTCTGAGACACCATGTATATCTTAATTGGATCGCCGACAAGATGGGAACAGGGATCACCATTAAGAATCGGTTAAGGCTGTCAGTGCGATTTATCGTGGTAGGAAAACTCGAGCTCGTTTCCGTCGTCACGTTCGGCTCGATCCATCGCCATGTCACGCGATTAGTCGCAGAACAAGATTAATCAGACCGCGTAAAACAAAAAATAGAGAAAGAACGCGCTCATAAAATGAACAAAATGGCGCGCATCGCGCATTGTACCTTCGTTGCCGGATAGTTTCCGGTTGCTTGTGCGCGAGGGTCGGGGCATCCGTGCGATTGTTCGCTCGAATTCAGGGACGCGGGTGTCACACAGCCGCCCTTTCATTCGCGTCTCCGTTATCTCTTGATACCACTGCCTGCCGTCTTCCGATTGCGCTGTAAATACACGGCCGCCGAAGCTACTTCTTCCGGTTTTTTTGCAGGTGTCATGCATCCTTGGGCGATACGCGGTTGGAACATTCACGTTGTGGAGGCTCTCCAAGCGGGAGAGTCTCGAGAAAAGAAAAAAAATGCGGCAAGTACCTTAAATAAGTGCTTTTCGATGCTAGAAACGCAGCTGTCGAGGCAGATCTGACATCCTTCGGCGGGTGTTGCATACTTGTATCGTGGATCATTGGGCCGAGACGGTGATTCAGACAGAACACAGAGGCCGTGTTCCAATTAACATTGCCAGTATTGAAAATTTATAGTTCACGTTATTATATTTTAGATTACCGTACTATAGGTTTTTTGTATTGACAGTCCGGTAAACATCAAGGATAACTGCCGATAACATTAGATATCTATAACATAGATGTAAGATATATTTACGTATGTGTTAGAGCAGTCTAATACATATACTAGAATTGCTAGGGAGTTATGTCGAAATATGGTCACAGCCGTCAGAGTCATAATGATACCACACAGTAAAAAACATTTTATATTTTTATTAAAATTGATCCACTCAAATCCTCGTTAAAATTTTGTGTGAAATTTTTAACATGTACGAGTGTCAATTTAACAAAATGCGATTATGTTATTTGAATATTTTATGTCAAAATTAATATTCAATATTTCTTATTGCCAGAATGGTATAATTTATGAATAAGCGAACAAATAATAAAAAGTAATGTATTTTAAAACAAGTTCCAAGATGTGAATAAAATATACGTTAATTTAACTGTAAATGTCAATTTTACTGAAAAAAAAAAAAAAGATATGCTAATAATATAATTGGAAAATATAAATGTGTTAAATTTAACACAAATGATCCAATATGTGGATAAAACGTCGTCATGATATCATAAGAGCCATAATGATATATCATGGGACGTCATCGTGACTTCATCTGTCACTTATAATGTGAGAGATGTCCTATAGTATCATTATGGCTGCCTTTCATTTGGCGCTCACAGTGTTTATGAGTATTATTCGTCTTTGTTTAATATTTGATAAACAACAAGGATGAAATAATTCCAAGAGCGCTGTAAGCATTAAATGATGTAAGCCTTGTGACTCCTATGATGTCATGATGACGTCGCGCGATATATTACGCCTTTCTCAAGTAGATCACAAAAGTTATAATAATATTATAGGACGTCATCATGACTTTATTTTTATCGTTTATAAGTTCATGATTTAAGGATATCTTTAACCTTTAATTAGTCACCGCGACTCCAAATTATTTTGTTTAACGACGTGCATATTTTCATGTGACTAATAATTAAAAGCGTTAAGGTATTATTATGACTTCTACGTTCTACCTGGGAAAGTCATACTATGAGCGCTCGCAAAGGAAACGGACGAACTTCGAAAATATTCCTGAGAGAGTACGAGGTTGAAAAAGTTCGAGGAAAATACTTGGGGATCGACAATGTTTATCTGGTCGGCCCGGCGGCATGGTCTTCCAGGAACAACATCGGCTTGAGAACGAGATAGAACGACATTTTATGAAGTCGACCGTTTCAGCAACAAAATAAAGCTTGAAACTCGCTTGCTTCAGAAATGGGAGGTAAAACTCGTGATTTCCTCTTCTATACCACAACTTAATTTTTATCGAATATTCCGCGGATAAGAGTCGATGAATCCCGCAATCCGGTTTTATACGATAATTCCATCATGACCCAGATCTTTGATAAATTTGTAAAATGTAATACGCGCCCACCGCGGAATAAAAGGTTTTTGGGTAATCTACCAAATGCGTTTATATGCGACGGACGATATTAATTGTAAATTGTTGATTTCCCCAATATTGATATATGAAATATTTTCCAACCATTATCATTTG